AAATTGGGGCACTTCAGCTGGAAAGCAGAGAGAACTCAGCAAGATGCTTGATGAATGGTAATCATAAATCTGCTCTTATGAATCTGGTCAATGGTGTGTTCTCTCTTTGTTTTTTAGGTTCTTTCTGATTTGGTTGGCGAAACCTATGTAAGTCTCCTTGCCCCCTTGATGTTCAGGGCTGCATACATCCAAAGGAAGCAAGGAAAGAGACAGTTATCATCGTCAATATACCTCACTGAAGCAGAGTCTTTTCTTGAACAGTACGCAAAACGTAGTCCGCAGAATCAGGCTCTGATTGGATCTGCCGGGAATTCAGTGAGGGCTGAAGATTTCCTAGCAATCACTGAAGGAGCTAGAGATGAAGAGGATGATCTGGAGAAAGAGCGGGAGCCAGAGCCAATAACCTCTATCCATCCAGTGAAAGATACTGTTCAAAGAGATGCGGGTTTGATTGTGTTTTTTCCTGGTAAATTAATCACTCTGGCAAAACTCCTTTTCTTCTTCCTTGTGCAGGATTGCCTTAAAAAGGGGACTACTGGAATTTATGCTTCAAGATGACAGGCTTTCTTTTATAGTCTATGGAAGAGCATGCCTAGAAAAAAAAGCAAAAGAAAAACAGCATGGTCTGACACTGGCTATAGATGCATTGACATGATAGGCTTAAATCTAACAAACAGCTTCACACAAGTTTTATAAATTTAAATTTTTTCTCAAAGATATGCTTTTAGTGATGAACAATTGTCTGCAACTTAGTTGTCTTGTAGCCAACAATTCAGAGACTGGTGCTCCTGAATGGTGCATTTATGTTATTACTCATATCATAGTAAGATTAAGAAATAAGATTTCAACCTATAGAGAATGCATGATTTCCTTTGTTCTCCAGATTTAAATGAAATTTGTTTGCACAATGAAACTACAATTTTGCAATGCACTCAAGTGATGTCAGAAAATATGACAATTTCCTATTGCCATGAGGATAACTGAAGAGATGAAATTGCAAAGCGAGCTGAGAGATTCCTCTGCACTTGTCTCTCAAACTATTCTATTTGTTGTGGTGGAAATTAGCAATCACTTGAAATTAGCTGAGGATTATCTGATGAGGAAACATGCAACCATTTGTTGTTGAGGTGCTACGAACACTTATAGCTTATGGATTACTGTTTTGGGGCTGCTGGGGCTGAACTGGGTTATGGCAGAAAACGTGAGCAGTGAATTGTGGGCGTGGGCGGGTTTTTGTAAAAAGAAAAGGTATTTATTCATTATTCCACTAACTATTTTTTGGATCGTGTGGAAAGAAAGAAATATGAGAGCTTTTGAGGACGATGAGACTAACTTTACACATGTTAGAGATTAGATGGATACACACTTTTGGTTATATTTTATTATGTTATGACATCAAAAATTGGGAGGATCTTGAGATTGTCATGGACCATTTGACTTATTTGTAGCTAGCTTTTGTATTTGGGTGGTACACTCTTGGTATCTATGTACATAATATACTTATCTTTCTTTCAAAAAAGAAAATAAAATTTTGATTTAAAAAATGACGAAGCACGTTACACAGCTAGTTTTATAGGATTGAAGAATCTCGGGAGAAGGAGAATACAAGTACTAAATAATCAGTTTTAAACTGGGGATTGAGAGCATGAAAATGATTACTTTAAATTTCATGGAGAAATGAAACCATTATAGTGCTGGTCTTTACTTAAGGAGATTTCTGTTTTTGGAGTTTATTTTTTGTGAGTATTAATAATTTAAAAAATTCTGTAGGTTGTGGTGGAAGAAAATGAATAGGTTAACTAGCTTTATCAAAGTGCAACGGGAGATTTCTTATATCCAGCTGAACTTTCATGGTTACTGAGAGTTTGTATCTGCACATCGTGACAGAAGTTCTTGTTATTCCGCATATCCAATCTCCCAATCCATGATTTCTTTTTTTCATTTGACTTGCTATCTTTGACACCCTAGCTAGGTAGATGGACAAACCTAGAAGGGCAGCAATAGAAGACCTGAATATGCCAAGCTGTTTTTACAAGTAGAAAGCACACACAATGAATGATGGGATATTTCTTGGAACTTAATATTGAGAAATTGCGTTTTATTCAAGCAGTCCTATGGAATTCAATTCCTGTATATTAATTATTTGACACTTATGAAATAGTCATACCTTACATATTTGATGCATGAGAGACTCTAATTTTTTTTTTTTGGTTTTAAAATGATAGATTTGAATTTCCAGTTATCAAGTAAGAGACCAGAAAGAAATATTACTTGAACTGAACACAGAATTTTTAGAATCTTATTTTCATTTAAATTTTTACCGTATTTTATTCTATTTCTATTCTTATTCTATGAAATTGAAATTTGAACCAAAATTGGCGTAAAATTTCTAGAACGAATATCTTGCTTGATTTTAGTCTCACTAGGACATCAAATGAAGCTTTATGCATGTCTGTTGCTCATGCATATTGATTTTTATACTTGGTTGATGGCATGATCTCTGCAAACAAACGTAAACATGTGATTTATCGTTTGTCCGATTGGAACACCATTTTTAATTATATATGTATGTTTTTGTGATGTTTCCTGTCACATTGGGAATTGTTCTGGACTTTGATAAACCTTCTTTCTCTTGTTTTTTGTTCGAGGATTTTATATTTATTTACCTTAGTTCTCTATGGTATTTCATGCCCTCAGTTCTATATGTCCTGATATACACCCTTGATTGCCACTTCTCAGGAATACCAGGATGCGCAAAATCTGCACTTTGCAAGGAATTATTAAATGCCCCCGGAGGACTTGGAGATGATCGTCCAGTCCATAGTTTGATGGGTGATCTTATCAAAGGTTGGAATCATGCTTGCCTGTGTATGAGCTATGCTTTCTTTTGTACATTAAGAAAACCATGATTTCTTTCAACTTTCTTCTTTATTTAATTTTCATTATGTATTTTTGATGCCTCTTAATCATGGTCAACAGGAAGGTATTGGCAGAAGGTTGCCGACGAACGTCGGAGAAAACCATGTTCTATAATGCTTGCAGACAAAAATGCACCAAATGAGGAGGTTTGGAGACAGGTAGTGTGCTTATTTTTTACTAGCTGAAATAGAAGGGAATTTATATCAACAGTGGTTCCATTATTTATTGGTGCATATTCCACAGAAGCATATTATGATTTTCCATTTCATGATGCATGAAATGTTGTGTACATTGGTTATTTGATAGCATAATGAAATAGAAAATGATGAGAAAAGTATAATATCTTTGTAGCCAAAAGTGATTGGATGCTAAAAGAAATCTTTTGCATTGTGTGAATTTCTCGATTTGTCAAGGTAATTATGAAACTCAGAAGTTAATTATATTCTAAAAATGGAGAACCTTGAACATCTTGGAGGTGTTCTAAGATTGAGTATTGACTGAAGGCTTTCTGGAATCTTGAGAAAACCTTACAACATGTACCTTAGAATGCATGAGGTGCCTATGCAGGGTGAATAGTGGAGATTAACATCTTTCCAGCACACTTTGGCCTCTGAAAGAGGAAATTTAACACATCATTTTGTTGATTTTCTGTTTTGCTTGCATGGTAAAAAGATAAAAGGGAAATCTTTATGTTGTGTGCCAATGTCAGACACAAATTTGTTTTCTGCTGAACAGAAAAGCTGATAAATTTCCCAAGTATTTAAGTACTTTAACAGTTTCATGCTGGAAAAAATCGAGTACCCAAGTAACCTTACTGTGTCTCCAAGGTATGAAGATGTGGATGGTGGATAGATATACGGTCTGCCACCATCCTGCGCTGTCCATTTTCTACTTTCATGTAAAACAGATAATGATGTTGATGAATATGTATTTTTCTCCTACAGATCTGGAAATTTTGCAATCTTGATGTTATATATGATGCAATGCTAGGAGGTGTAGTCTCACTTTCAATGGGTCTTTTTCAGTCAAATCCTTCTATAAGAAGTTGTACAAATATGAAGATAATGACATATGTTGTCAAGCAGTTCTGGAAGACTAGTTTCCTCTCCGGATTTCATCTTTTGCTTGGTTAATGCTTGCTATCTTTATAAGAGGGATGAGGAGACTTATAAGCATGTCTTGCTGTAGTGTCCAAATGTTTATAAGCTGTGGACCTTGGTGTATAGGCTGCTTGGTATTAGTTAGGTGATGGCAGGTTTGGTGAGAGAAGAATTTTGGGTGTGGAAGCATGCCAGCGGCCGGCAGAAAAAAGTGGATATAATTCCACTCTCCGTCTTCTACGTGGCCTAGAAAGGAAAGAATAGAAAGGTTTTTAATGAAGTTGAGGATGTAAATGGCTTGATATCCTTAAAAAATAAATGATGCAAAACTCTTGGTTTTTTGTTACAAGGTCATCTTTTTGTTTTAAGGAGAATTTAACTGAATTTGCTGATACTTTAATTGACTTGTAAATTTTGTACATGGGCGGTACCTCTTGGTGCCTATATTAATGAAACTCATACTTTATATTTTAAAAAAAAAATGTTAGGAGGTTTAGTGGAACCTAGTGGTTGCTGGAGAAATACTAGTTCACATCTTCTACATTTGGGTTTCCAAATATTAGAAATCTGTGTTGGCTTTTCTTGACTTTCTCGGAACCTTATGTTCAATATGGAGTTACATGGTGCTGTTATATTACATTGTTTGCATATAGATATTGGCGTCTATCATGCGATTTGGTGCTTGTTGAAGTTATCACATAACTATTTGCTTCTCTACTTTGTTCTACTTATTATCTTATGGTGTTCTCAACCTTTTCCTTCTAGTTTCAAATGTGCCATATGGTCTTTGCCACTTGTGCAGATAGAGGAGATGTGCTGGAGAACTAAAGCTTCTGCTGTTCCAGTTATTCCTGATTCTGAAGGTAACATCATGGTTCTTTTTTCTGTAGTTCATTATTCTCATCTAGAATCTCAGCA